CAAGCAAGCAATCAAGTCCCGAATTTTCCTCCATCATCAATCAAACCCAAATTTACCCTAATAAATTATAGTAAAAACGAGGCAAAGATCAAAGTAAAGAGCTTTAAAACTAAATACTCATCCTTCCATTGTGTAGACAATGGAAAACAGAGTCAGAAGCTCGAAACTTGAAAGAGACCAAAGTCGCCGGAAGATCTCCCGAAAAATAGCATAAGCTCCTAGTCTAGAGAGCAAAATATAACATAAGCTAAGTTCCCAAAAAGGAAAAAATGAAATAATGAGTAGTGGATGTCCAAAATACAAACGAAAAAACATATATATAGTGGTCTCTAAAAAGCACACACTAGGTGCACACACATTTAATGATCTTCAGTTCGCAAGACTTGAAATCTTGTTCGCGGCGAGTTTTGATGTGAAAATCAACTGAAAAAGGCATTTCGCAGCTCGCCAAATGTTGTTCGCAGCGAGTGCGGGCTAGGCTTGTGCGGAGTAGCGCTTCGCCGGGTGCGAGTGTTGGTTCACTGCGAGTGCGCGACATTTAGTGGTTGTGGGTGCGCCGCTTCGCGTGCATGGCAGTTGCGCGGGGTGCCATTTTGCGGGGCACAAAGGAGATGTCACTGGCGAGTGCCTAGTGTGGTAGGTCCGCGCACCGTCTGCTTCGCTGGGCGCCACTCGTGTTTCGCAACGAGTGCTGCGTGTTGTGCGCGCCCCACTCTCTCAAGGCGCGGAGCTTCTTTCGCTGGCGAGTGGTATGTTGGTGATGGGCGTTGGGGCGCGCGACTCGCACGGCGCCAATGCCTTCTCGCGGCGAGTGTGTGTGGGCGTGGCAAGGGCCATTTCGTGCGTCGCCAATATGCTTCCGCAGCTAGTGCATGGGGCTGGTTGGGCTCCTCGCGGGCTGTCTCGTTGGTCTATCGAGTGGCTCGGTTGGACCATTATTGGTTCGGGTGGTTCAGAAAAAGCTTGAAAATGGCACGAACGACTCGTCTTCCCAACAATCGCAATTGGACCTACACAACACACCAAAAGAGACACGAAAATACGGAAGTGATACAAAAACACATAACAAAAGCGAAAACACATAAAACATGATAAAGTAGACCGATTAACACACAAACGAACCTAAACACGACTCGACTAACACATAAAACTCAAGAAAATATGCAAAAAAATAACAAACACGAAGCCCCTATTTTTTGCAAAGGACGGCCAAATTGGCTTGTTCATGAGAATGTGCGAGCTTCCTCCTAGATGAAACTTTAGGTCTTCCAAGTTAGGTAGTGCCCAAAATTAACCTTTCGCTAGATTTTATACTTTTTCTTGTTGATCAAATTATCAGCGGGATTAGTGTATGGCGATTTCATCACCCTGAGTCAAATATACCACTTATTTTTAAACAACCTTGCTCTGAACTCCATCTGCAGAATGATATGTTTCATCATTCTTATTTGTAGTCGCCTGCAATCTTTTGATCCAGACTTGTTTTTGTAATGTGTCTAGAAATTCGAAAGCTCCTTGACATGAGCATCTATAAAAATTAATATCTCCTTGACACGAGAATAAATGTGTATAAATCAAATAATAACTCTTTTGACACGCGTATAAATTGTCTTCAACTCAAATCAAATAAAAAATCTTTCATACGAGTAAAAATTATGAACCAATCAAGTCAAATGAAGAACTTCATGATACGAGTATGAACAATCTAAAATCAAATCAAATCAAGAACTCCTTGAAATGATTATAACTTATGTGTCAAATATAATCAAGACTCCTTCATGCGAGTATAAACTATAAACAAATCAAGTCAAATGAAGAACTCCTTGGTACAAGTTTAAACTATCTACAGATTCAAGTTGAAGAACTCCTAGATAAGAGTTTTAAATTATCTGCATGTCTCAGCCAAATCAAATATTTTGAGACATTCACTACCAAGACATTTTGTCCGTGAACAAGTCTTAAAAGAGCATATGTAGACATCGAAATTTTAATATTCTATTAATCAATATATTAATTTATTTATTTTTAGAAATAAATCCAAGATAAATAAGATGTATAATTAATAAAGTAATTATTGATTGCACACCAAGTCAAATTATAGGATAAGAAAAGAAGTTATATCAATTCATGAATGACCAATCAACTTGAAGTTTTTTTTCTTCAAGACTCCTTCTCCTACACCTATAAATAGGGTTTTCCTCAAATAGGTTCTTGAAGATTCAAGAACATTCAAGTTGAAGATCGGCGCTCAAACTGGAACCAAGTTTCTTATCTCCGAAATACGCTCAATGTAGAAGAAGCCCAATAAGAAGGGGAAAAAAAGGTGGAAGTTATTCTCGAGTAAATAAAACAACGACATCCAGTTCGTTCAAGTCAGTCCAAGAACATCAACAGTGTTAAAGCGACATTCAAGGCCCGTTCGTTCAGAAGTTCAATCAATATGATGTTTGATCCAAAAAAAAAAAAAACTTTTAAGCCCTCGAGTCAACGTTAGTCAAGTTCAAATTCATTTTCGAATATCCGAATCCAAGTTCAAGAAGAGAGGAATCAGATGAGATAAATAAAGATTATACCCGCAAAATCGTTTGATCAAAATAAAATTAAGTTGTACAAAAATTTTATGTGTTCCATAAAATTTGTTGTTACGGATCTCACATACACATTTTAAGAGGTGACTCGTTTGATCCACCCAAGTACAACTATCTTTTCTCTAATAAAAGTTTTACAAGGTTTAGTGACATCATATATAGATGTCCATAAAAAGCCAAATAGTCTATTATAAGACTTATAATTTGAACTTTGGCTTTGATTCGTTGACTAATAAATCACTACAACATGTTCCCATTACATTCCAACAATACTTGAATTTGAAACAGATAACGCAAATTTTCGTAAATAAGTTTCAATAAAATCCATAATTTTCATTATGTTGTATATTTTGACAATACAATCATCGGCAAAATACATATCCGTGTATAGTAACAAAATTTCGGTTGATCTTTCCAAAAACAATATACTATCTTAGAGTAAAGGCTATGTTTGATAAAATTAACTGATAAGCTAGCTTATAGTTTATCAATAATTTTCGAGCGTATAGCTTATAACTTATGACTTATAGCTGAAAAACTAGTTTATATGACAAAAGTATTTGGTAAAATTAGCTGATAAGCTAGCTGGAATAAAAAAAAAAATCAACTAATTTATTTGAAAAGCTATGTAAAGAAGCTTATCAAATAAGCTCGAGCTTTTTAAATAAGCTTGTTCTACCAAACAGAGTTTATTTAAATATAGAGAACTTATAAGTTAAACAAATGAACTATAAGCAAGTTTATTGGTCTATCTATCTAACATAGCCTAAATACTAAATACAAGTATCCCGACTACCTTAACATGTGCAGTGGACACATGTTAATATGCCCACCGCGTAGGTGACATGCACTCACTGTTGATGTTTTTTTTTAAACATATTAACATCACCAATGAGTGGATGCCACCTGCGCGGTGGAATTAACATATACTCACCGTGAGTATGGAAGCATTTCTAATACAAATAATGCAAGAACTGTTTTTAACTTTAAAGGAAGTTGTAATTGATGTAAATAGAAATGCTCCCCTATCCACGGTGGGCACACGTTAATATGCCCACCGTATAAGTGGCATGCACTAATTAATGATTTATGTTTTAAAATATATTTTACTGAAAAGGGATGTTCTTTTATAGATTTTACTTGATGTAAATGCTTATGTAATTCATGGTTTATAGATTTTACTGAAAAGGGATGTTCTTTTATAACAACTCAGGTTTAAGCTCATGTTTATCAAATCTCATAACAATGCTTTTTTATGTATTCGAGTGCAACATATTAACATATTTAATCACCTATAAATTATAGGGAAATGTTAAAGTCCAGTCACAAAATTATTTCGCAGTAACTATTATTATCCAATTTTCTTTTCTTTTTTTCAGGGGCCAGAATTTGCTCGTGATCTACACATAAAAGATATATATNNTTTTTTTTTTTTTTGTTTTTTTTAATTAACTGATGGTTGTTCAACAAAACACTATCAACACACACGTTACCCACACCAAAATAGTGTAGGTGTATGTATGTATAATAAATATTTATTTATTTATTTATTTACTTATTTTCCATTCTCAACTTGCACCTGACCATTCTTGAAATTTTGCAATCAACAGTGTTTTTTTCTGAGAGAGAAGAAACAAAAGGGGTTTCTTTCTTGTGTGGGTGGTGGAGGAAGAATATTTATTTTATGCAGTCTTCTTCTTTCACCCCTCAAATTTATACAAGATCAAATTTTGAGAGATTCTGCCTTTTTTTCTTGATACAAGATCAAAATTTTCTGCAATATACTCAAACCCGTATACTTTTTTTTTTTTTTT